CCGCGATAGTCCGCTTCAATGGCCCGCGACCATCCACGTACCACCATATTATATTTGTATATAAATATTTAACTAACATAGAAATAAACGGGGCAACAGATACTGAAAACCAGGAGAGAATCCTAAGACACGAGGGTACCGTTTAAATATCTTGGCAACAATAAATAATTAATTATATTAATTATGTGATGAAATACATATTTGATTAAAAATGCCTCAAAACTGTTAAATAAAAAGTAAAAATATGTCCTTTTCCCTAATATATTGTACAATTCATTTTAATCAAAATATAATTTTTTTTTTTTTATTGAGCTTGAGCCCGGCAACTTTGGCCATTAGCTGTTAGTTTTTGTTTGTTTGTAGGTTGTTAGTAGGGGGAGGAACGGTTGAAAACACGTTTTGTATGTGTGGCAAGGATTCGTTGCTAAAAAAATCCCGGATGGTCACCCATCCGGGAACTAGCAACGCCGGCCGTTACGTAAATTTAGTGCGTTTCCGCAGTTGAGTGTACGCACTGCGCCACACCAAGCCACAATATAATTATTATACGACAGTCATAATCGTTATTTGAGAAACGACATTTTTAGCCGGAAAATAATGGCAATGACCAAAATCATTGAAGGGGCTCCAGTCATTGAATACCAATACTCAAATACTCGAAACACTTTTACAGTTTTACTCATATACTTTAGAGCACTGTTAAATTTTAATAATACAAATAACAATAAAATATATTTACATTAAGTCGTTTAGTTTACGACTTATGAAAATGTATTGTGGTACTGTAATCCAAGTGCATTAGGTATTAAGACTAGCAACAAATGAAACCATACAATTGACTTACATTTTAGATTACTATATAATCGCTTATACAGTAAAATATTAAAACAATATTCTCGGATAATCATAGTTCATTTATATTCACGTTTATAGAAATTAACTAGAAAAAAGGATTCAAATTATAAATTGAAGTCATATATTTGGATGAAGGTACTCTACCACAAAAATAGAAAAGCATAAAATGCGTAGGCACACATAAGCAATAATTATTTGTCAGAATTAATTCAAATTGTGGAAATTGTTTGTACTTAGCTACTACTTACGGAACATTTCTGGGAACTTTTGTTTTTGAAATCCCTCCAATTTACTGTAAATTATTTGGTGGATATTTTTTTAATGCGTTACCAAATAATATATTAATATATTATTATGTGTTTTGATGTGTCCCAATCGTATCCGAGGGGACAATATCATTTTTATAATTATTATTTTTAACTTATTGGGTTTGTATTTTAATTTTAACGTACTAAATAAATAATATCACTGATCCGCCAAGCATGCTCGCCATACTGCTTTTACATTTAAAAATGAATAAACATCGGGTAACGGAGCTTAGTTCAGGCTGGTTTCTTAAAAATTATATTATATTTTGTTTGTTAACACTTAAAATTACATTTTATTATTGGATTTAATCAAGAAAATAATTGTCTTTATAAAAGAAACTATGTTGTTTGTTTAAAAATATACCATGCTATATTCACCTTGGTAGTTATAATCAACAAAACAGTTCTATTTATTCTTTCATCAAAGGGATTCTTTAGATACAAAATTCTAACGAAATCCGTGTAGACTTTTTAAAAAAAAAAGTACATACTATTCTTGAGATTTTTTTGTACTACTTAAATACAATTTCTGAAGACTTTTGTTTTGAAAATTTACTGTAAATTATTTAATAGATAATTTTTTGGAAAACGTTGATTATCATTTAATTCAAAATTTGAACGAGTAGTCAATAATCAAGTGTTTTTAAATTTTTGATTTTAATGGTTATACATCAATATTACTGTTTATAGTTACACAGTTTTCAGTAACAAAAATTATCTAATACAATAATAATAGTAATAATTAGGTTATAAATTTATAATATAGTATTTCTATTCTGTTTCTTTATTAAATAATATAAATATATGGGCACAAAATAATCTTTATGTTTATCCATATGATCCACGTACTAATTAAAAAAAGTATAGATGATTTTTTTTTAACTAATTATTTTTTCCTTGTTAACTCGGTGAGTTAATTTTATTGTTTATTTTGTTAACTATTAACTACGACAACCCTGTGTTCACTTAACTAAATTTGAGTTGATTATTTTCCTTAACTTGGACCCCCTTGTATAGCTAAGTTGTACAGTATAAAACGTGTATATGGTACATAAAATTGAAACTTGAAAGACAGATTTTAAGAGAAAATTACTATAAGTACTAACATTCCAAATTATTACCTTTAAGCTGCTCACGGTTAATCACACCGAGGTCAAAAATAATTTTAAGACGTTTTATCCACTCTCCCCTTCTGGTTTCTTGCACCCCACCCACAGATGCATTGACCGTATCCCGCCCAAACAAGACAATATCACCTCAGACAAAAAATTAAAACAATTAAAAAGCAATAATGGTTAAATTGATTGATAACATTCGAACTCGAACGTCATAATAATACTAATATAAAAATCTCTATCTTATATAAATATTAAAAAAACTTTCACAAAACGTTTTCAATATATTACTATCATCTTTAGGTAGGTAAAAAAATTATCACGGAAATCTCCTGTTTTCCTGTTCTATAATTCAACATTTTAATAGATGTACTTTAGTCACTCATCTGTAGAGCTTCAATGAAAAGCCATACTGCATTTACAGCAATGTTTCCAATAACATTTGACATGTTATCCGTTTTTTTGGTTTCGGAATTAGTACATTTCTTAGGAATTTGAACTATTTTGGAGTCGGATAAATGAATGAATTTCAAACTATTTATTTTATATAAGTCGTCCCTTTTCAAATTATTATTATTTATTATTATGTAGTATCAATTTACAAGTATAAAATATATTGTATTGCTACCGCCTACAAGTATTTTAGGTTATACTCAAGGCGGGCAAGTTAATGAGAAATAATTAACTCAAATTAAGTGAAATTAGAGGACATGAGATCGATAAGTTAAAAGTTAACAGTTCACAAATCATACATTTAAGTATTTAACATAAGTTTAAAGTTAAAAGGGAAAAAATATTAACTGAACTCAATTTAAAAAAAGTTAAGTTCCTGTTTTTAATTAGTAATGTGGATCACATAAAAAGTGACTGTGTTCTTTCTAATTTCTTTAATACTAATAAATCATTTTATTGAACTTTCAACGTAATCTATTTTCTGGTGTATGTATCTATTTTGCATTAGATGATTATTAATTATTTAAGTTATACCAGCTCATCTCAATTAATAATTTAACAAATATTCATTTTTTTATATCAAGCAGCAATTTAAGGTCATATTATATTATAAACTTATGCCTATCTTATCTATTTACAAAATTATTTTATCAAGAAATATAACAGAAATGTTTGCGTTATTGTATTAATTAACTTAATGTCATTACGGTTCAGGGTTGGCAAAAACCCGGGACTTATAGAAAAAACACAACCCGGTTTGGGTTTTTTAAAATAAAACCCCAAACAACTCAAAAACCCATGGGTTTTTATGTAAAACTAATAATGGGTGGTTTTATCTGGTTATTTTCTCAAAAAACCCTTCCGAAAGAAAATTAAAAATATAATTAATAAGTTTTTTTTCAAATCAATTTAATATTTTAATTGGAAAAATAAATAATATCTATAAGGTAAAATTTTCTGAGAATTAAAAAAAAAAAATAAGAGTAAATTTCTATTTTATCCAGAAAAGCAGCGCGGGTTTTAATAATAATAATAATAATAATAATAATAATAGTAATAATAATAATAATAATAATAATAATAATAATAATAATAATAGTAATAATAATAGTAGTAATAATAATAATAATAATAAATTATATATTAATAATAATAGTTTATTCAGTAGGATAAAACGGGCCGAGGCCCAATAGTACAGATAGTAAAGTTTGAGTACAAATACAAAAGAAATACAATATTACATACAATGAATATCATATAGGTATATAAAGTTAATAAAAATCTAAAAAGGAAAAACAGTATAAAAATTGATAGGCAAATCCAGCATTACGTATTCACATTGTTGATGTGAGCATTTAATATCTCCCTCAAGGGAGAGAAGAAAAAGACAACTCTCGTCGAAAGTTTATTGCAGGGGTCTCCAAACTACGGCCCGCGAACCAGTTTTAACCGGCCCGTGGCCCACATAGGTAAACATTCTAATAAAGCTATAAAACTTAAATTCTAGTAAAGCTTCTAAAAGTGTGTGTTGAAATACGAGGGCTGCTGCCTCAGTATTGAGGTATCTAAAAGTATTCAACCAATTAAAAGAATTAAAAAATAGGTTCAAATTAATATAATTGCCTTTCTCATAGTTGAAAATTGTTCTGTCGTTGTTTAGAATAGGCTGAAATATAGGTAATTGAACGTCTATTTGTGATCAATAGGGACAAACGGATCATCGTGAAGATTTATGGTGTTCTCTAGGAGATTAAAAAACATAAAATCCAGAATATTTCCATGAGCATTAATGACAGAATTAAATTGATATAGATTTAACAAATAACAGCTCTCAGTAAGATAACTTAATACTTGGGAAGAAAGGAAGTTGACACACTTAGCCCATGCTTGTCACTTTCCCAGGATAAGGAGGGAATATTGTAATTGCCACAAATGATAAGTTTACAATTCGGAAAAGAAGAATCAATAGATTCTAAGACTTAGAGGTGATTTAGGTATAACTGTAAATCACTATTAGGTGGAAAGTATACAGCACAAAAAATAATTAAAGCAACACCAACTATAACTTTGACAAAGACTTGCTCTACGTTTAAAGTATCAATATTAAGCAATTTGGAATTAAAAGTCTTTTTAATAGAGACGAGAACTCCTCCACCACGACAATGAGGACTAGTTGTTTTGGTTCTATCACATCGAAATACGTTATGCTGTGTTAAACCTAACTCATTGTCAAAGAAAGTGTTATTTAACCATGTCTCGGTAAATATTATAAAATCATGAGTAGATGAAGGTATTGAACATTTTAATAAATTTAATTTGGTCCTTAGACCACGGACATTTTGGTAGTAACCAGAGAGATAAGAATTGATACAAACAGAAGGCTTATTAAAAACTCATTTGAATTATGATTATTGAACATTGATTTTAACTTACTAATATAACTATTGGGCTTCGCCCTATCATTTAGTTTTTTTTTAATATTTATAACTATAAGAATTAAATTGAAGTATATTTGTCAATAAAAAACTTGAAGGTTAGCCTCAAAGTAGTATAAGCGAAATAATAATAATAATAAAAATAAATTGTTTTGGACGGAACAATGATTTATAAAACACTTGTTATCAAAGGGGAGTTGGAGAAGAAACCGAAAATGTTTCATTTTGTTCTAAATCGTTGGTATCTTGGTTTTGAGTACACATGTATGGTATGACTGCTACAACAAAACATTTAATATTTATAATTCACGAAATATTATGTATACTCTCAATAAAAACCTGAAATGTAATGTCGATATTCTGGTCCAAGCTTCAATGCATGTTCATATATGTCTTTTGCTGCTTTAATTGCCATTTTATCATGAGAAGGTCGAGATTCATTATCTAATTTCACTTGCTCAGTGGATTTAAAATTAATTAAATCGGTGGTTAGAATGCTTGGTTTAGCTAGAATAAGTACAAGGTACATGTAATACACAATTATTTTTATGTATAAAATTACACTTACAATTTAACCTGATAAGTTCTTGGTAAGAAGGCATCACAGGGGCATCATCATGTAAATTACCAGAATCACTAGTATGCCAACCCAAGTTTATATTTGAAAAACAAGCCAATTCTTTGGAACTGTTACGTTGATGATTTTTACGTGTAAAAAATCTGCGTATTGTTGCACGTTGTGCATCATCTCCTAATTTTTCACCACTACATCTAATTACAAGTTCTTTTTCAACTCTAAACATAAAAAATTAAGCTTAACAATAAATCATTGTATTAAAAAAATGTTATAACACTTAAATTTTAAATATAATTACTTGTATTTACTAGGTATAATGCCAACTTGTTGTTTATAACCATTGTGATCAACTAACCAAGCTCGCCAATTGCCCTGAACACCATTATACAATGTGTTATCTACATACAGAACATCATATTTGCGAAATGGTAGCTGAAAAGAATTACTACCAGCTTCACTCAATTCAATTGTACGATCAAATAGTGCTTGGATATAAAAGCTATCACCAGGTTTATCCTTTATTTCATTGTACTCTATTATAATAAACAAATGATTAAATATAAATTTTTTTCATTTAGAAACATTTAACAATAATGTTCAATAATGTTACTACTTACTATCAATTAAATATTGTGCTAGAACTGTGACTTTTTCGGCTGGCTTGGCTAATTCAAAAGCTGCTTCTTCAGCAGTCGCTTCTCTTAAATCTGTTACATTACATTCAAGTATACAATCACCAGTTCTGTGTAAAAAAAAATATATTTGTTAATAAACTATAAATTAATTATTAAGATTAAAATAATTAAAATAGAAAAGTTTAAAGTAGCCGTACCGTAAACCTGCGTTATAAGCCAATGAATTGAATTTAACACTATGTACAAATATTCCAACAGCATTTCCGCCAACTAGGCTTATTCCTAAGTTACTACACTTCTTTGTCTCCATGATAAAATACCGTGGTTCATATGCTCTTAAGCTTGTACTATCTGTATTTCGATCACTCTTTGGCAAATTTAATGTAGATATGTCATGAGTTATAACTGAAGACTTTCTATTAACAGTAGGTGAATTGCATGGTGTTGGACTTTCTGAACGAGTGCTAGTTGAACTTTTGGTGCGTTGTAGCTCTTGGTATTCTTAAAACATAAATAAGTTAACATTTATTTATACAAAATTATTAATGGACTAATTAAGACATACTGTCTGGGCTGTATTGTACTAGTATGGTAACTGAGTTTCCATGCTGCTGTAAAATATTTTCAGCTGACTGATATGTTGCACGTCTCATGTTTATTCCACAAACTTCTAATAGCTGATCTCCGACTTGAATACCTACTTTGAAAGCCACACTATGTTCATTAGTAACAGAAGATACAAAAACTCCACTACTGTCAACACAAAATATCTTAATTCCTAGAGGTTCGACTAATTTCTCTATACTGATCCATCTAAGCTCGCCAGTTAATGGACCACTTCGAACACCTCTTTGTAGTGGTCTTTTGAAATATCTAAAATATTTATTTTATTAGTAATTATTATTAAGAGGACGCTACCCGTACATTTGTGGTCTCTGTCTTACACAAGCACGAAATAGAAAATTGTCGTTCTCTAGTTACAATAGTGTGCTGTTAGTTTTGATACTAGAGTGAATTTACTTATTATAAAACTTTTAGGTAAGAACATTATTTGTGCTTAAGCGTAGCCAATTTTTAAAAATTTTCATTTTCAAGCAAGATATGGTTATGTGAAATATCAAAAATTAAAAATGCTCATATCTCCCTTGGAAATTAAAATATCAAATAAAAGCCAACGCTTAAGTACAGATAATGTTATTATCTAAAAAATAGATAATAGGTCGCTCTTATATCAAAACTAACAGCACACTATTGAAACTTTGCTATGTCGTGCATAGATAGATGGAGACAACAAACGCATGGGTAGCATCCTCTTAAGACTCTTAATAATTTAGTTTTAATACTAACTTTGATGCCACATCATATACAGATTGTCGCTTGTTGGCAGGCATAGATTTTTCTCCAGGATTAAGAACTTCAACTCTAAAAGTAAGCATTGGGCTATCCTTTTCACTACTGATAGATCTATTAATACACCTAGGCGATATGCCAAATGCTCCATCACTCCTTTTATTAGACACACTTGGGTTGGAAGTGATTCTAAGTAAAATATAGAATATATTGAATTATATTTATTATAATTATATTAAATTTATACAATTTTATTTATCAAATGGTACTAAACAAAACAGAATATTTTAATTAATATCCACCCAAACAGTAAAATTAATATTTTCAAAACATTATGTCATCCAATTTAAAAAAAAAAAAAAAAACTTTTAAATACAGTGAAATTTCCACACAACAAATTTTCGATAATTCAAATTTTTTTTTCGTATCAAACCGATTTGAATTATCGAGGTTTCACTGTAAAAGAAAAATATTCTCACGTCAAGAAATTCCCGAAAACAATATTTAAAAAAAATGTATTTAGTTCTAAATTAATTTACGCAAAAAACTATTGATATTTAAAAAATGTCTAAAATATAAACTACTTGACTTAGAATAATATTTTTAGCATCAAAATTTGTTCTTATAATCATATTTACAAATATTTGCTATTTTGAATTTTTCTAAAAAATCTAAATCAAATTCAATTTTTTTTATTTTCAGGAAGTATTAAAAAATAAAAAAAAATATTTTTATAATATACGTGTATAGGCAGCGAAAGTGACAATAAAATTTAAATTTAAAATTATATATTCATATAAAAAAGGTGGACAATTGAGTACCTCTCTGCTGTACAATAGGTTGTCGAGCATGTTTTAATGGATGTGTTATATTTTAATTCAATGATAAATTATTGCATAAAAAAAACGATTCTAAGCGGAGACAATGGGTCAGGCTAGCATACTTTTTCTCGTTGAATTATGTTGAAAAAAGGGGTAGGGAACCTTAAGTTAAAATGTCTAATGATAGCTATGAAAAAAAAACTATTATTAATTTCTAACTGAAAATTATCATGGCTATAAATAGTTCAAAAATTGTCAAAATAGATCACAAATTATACCATGTATGGAAAATACAAGTATAATTAATATTTAATGAATATTTCAAGAGTTCAAGGTTATTCGTTTTTGTAAAACAACTAAATATCAAAAATCTATTAATGGGAATTCAAAAATTTACCACTGAATATCAAATAGCGTAAAAATTTTTAGTTCAAGCACTCATAAAAAATGAACGTTCTGTTTAAGTAAACTTTTTGTTATGTGTAAAAAACTTATATCAAATCTCTATTAAAATTTTTAATCTTAGCTATGAAAAGACAAACTTTCATGAATCTCTAAGTGAAAAAAAATTTTAAAAATTTCTCATTGCTATAAATAGCTCAGAGTCAAAATTGTTTGAAAATACTACCTTGTACGGAAAATGGTGTTTTTAATATTTGGTAATAATTTTTAGTGTCAAGCGTTATTTGTTTTTGAATTGCAACAAAATATAAAAAATCAATAGATGAAATTTGTTAATTATCCGATGAAAATCCAATATCGTAAAAATTTTATATCATAACGCACATATAAAATTAATGCTACTTTCCAGTAAATATTTTTTTTACCTTAAGGTAAGAAATTTTGTTGAAAATCTTCTATCAATACTTCTAGCTATGAAAAGAAAAATATAAAAATTTTAGAAAAGTTGATGAATTTTGTCCACATTTAGAACTTAAATATAAAAAAGTAATCGTGTCAATGTATCTTTAATTTTTTTTTTAACTTACATAAGGCACCTCTTAGGAATCTTGCATTAGAATTGTCAAACTTTTTACTAAGTCAATAAGTTTTAAACAAGAATAATCTCAGAAAAAAAAATACTAAATTTCAAAAAATTGTTCAATGCTATAACTAAATGAAAAAGTGTCAAAATATTTCGAAGATGTTACCATTAATTAAAAATGTTTGGTAATATAAATATTAAATGACAATTTCAACAAATAGGTAACAGCGACTCTCGATAATTCGAATTGACGGGACTGGTTGAAAAAACTTCGAATTACCGAGAGTTCGAATTGTTGAGTAGTTCGAAATAACGAGAGGGCAAAAAAAAATTTGAATTAATAGAGAGTTAAGAAAAAAATTTTTGTTTTTTAAACCATACATTTGGTGAATATACTTCGAATTTCCGAGGCCATTAAACGAATGAATACTTCGAATTGTCAAGTTGTTAGTGGCCAGTTTTCCCCAAATTTTAATTTCGAATTACCAAGTGTACTTAATTGCATTGTTTTTGTTCGAATTACCGCGTGGTTTTCAAGCGAACCGAGTATTTACTTCGAATTCACCGAGGTTTCGAATTATCGAAGGTTTGAATTATCGAGAGTCGACTGTATCTACAATTATTAGTTTTTGAGTTACACCAAAACAATTAAATCAATTTTTTCAGAACTTGGTTTTGTTGTAAAATTACCATTTTTTCCCTTTTTTTTTTCTTGACTGTTTCTAAAATTACTTAGAATTTTATATTTTGACATCCAAAAAGTACCAACTAGATTCTATTTTCTATCAGATAATATTTTGATCTCGAAAATCGAAGTATTTAATTTTTATTCACAGAGTAAGTAATACTATAAATATTAAATTTGGATTTAGCAGAACAAATTGTATGTTTCTATCTTCAATATAAATGTATTAGGCTGAATCAATCTAACAAGACAAAATTAATTCTACTAAAGACAAAATTAATTCTACTAAAGACAAATTTGCTTTTTTTTAAGTTTGTAAGACAGAAACAATACATTCTTCAAAATTAAAATTTACACCTAAAAAGAAAAAATACAAACGTACCCAAACCTCGGGGTTTCACTCTTTCTAGGAAATGTACCAACTTTATAACCATGATAAGATTCTGGCATATCTTCACTACGATAGCTGTTATTAGTCATTATGCGATGAGGTGATCTATTTTTATTTCTATTGTAGAGCATGTCAACGGATAGAGAGTGACTGTGATGAAACTGTATAAAGATACATAATCTAGATTAATACCAACTAACAAGTAAATATATATAATATTTATTTAATATATATTTTAATTTACTGGAGAAACATGACTGTAAGGAGGTTCAAAACAATTTAACATTGATTCCAGTCTAGGGGTTGGATATGGTTGTGAATATCTACTATATCGTGGAGTGAGAAAATTATGAGCGTTGGTTGATGGTGGTCTATACATATAATGTGATGTAGGTCTTGCTGCAAGGTTATTTCCAGCATTACTATCAGTAACGCTATATTTGTATTTACCAGTTATCTTTTTAACATAATAATCCATTACATCTTTACCAATTTTACCAGATCTATTTAAATAAAGTAAGGAAATAGTTTCAAATATATTTCATTTTAATATATAGAATATAATAAATTATTTACCTGACAGAGAAATCCATAGATGAAATATCAGTTTTTGTTTTTTTTTTAGATGACCAAGACGGAAGACTATTTAAAAGTACGGATAACGGCCAACGTTCCTTATTTTTACTAGTATGAAGTATTGTACCAGTTCCGTGTTCAATTACAGGGATACTTCTAGCTTTTGGCCAAGTACCATTAATCTTGTCTAATTCCTTAGATTTTCTTTGTCGACTAAAAAAAATAAAAATCACAAAATGTATGTTTATTAAATAATTATAAAATAAAGTTATAAAGTTACCTAAATATAAAAAAATAAATTAATGCTATGAACTAATTTAACTTAAGAGTTTTATATAATTATGTAGTAGTTATTGGTTTTGATTTAATCTAAAACAATTTTTACGATATTTTAGTATTCATTTGATACTGGTATAATATATTATAATATGTACCTATAACCAGAGGCATAATTTGCAGTGTTGCAGGATATCAAAACACCAAATAAACACAACATAAAATTGGAACAAACATTTTTATTTTTTATTGAAAAAATTATGTCCTTCGTTAAATTACAGTAAGCTGAAGCAACGTATAAAATTATGGATAATTTATTTATAAAAATGAAAATTTTACAATGCAAAATATATTTTATTTAAAAATTGTATTAATTATTTCCATACTCGTAAATTGTTATTTGTGAAGCTGTTTCTACATCTCTCTCTTTTTGTTAAATGGTAAGTCATTATATGGAAGGTTATATTTCATTCTCAATGAAACACATTTTGGTTTATCGGGCCAAAAGTAAAACCAATGAATATTTAATTTATATATAGACCTAAAAATGTATCAATAATGAAGATAATAATCATACTGTCTTACAATAAGTTTTGCATCATATAATACTGATACATCTGTTTCGCCATTTCAGCATCATTTAAATCTGTATTTTATATTTTGGATTCTGAGTGAGCAATGAATGTATTGATTTCACAATGATGTGTGTTCTTTAGTTTTTAAATTTCTTTTTTGAATGTGCATTCACGATAAGTAGTCGGTACTTCGATTTTTGATGGGAAAGAGTATCTAATAGGTGCTTTGGGGAGGTCATAATCCGATATTCCCAGTAATTTTCAAGAGCCGAGAAAAAAATAAAATAAAGGAAAACCGGGAATTTGGTATTTATTGTAACTCTAAAATAAATGACCATAGATATATGACATTTTTACTGGTTGTTTATATGAGTATTTTCTATACAAAATCAAAATATTTTGATTAGTTTGGAACTGTTTAAGGACATTTTCAGTTTCCCATTTTATTAGGTTTTTTCCTATGAATATCAATAAAAAATTATTTGTTGAGTAAAAAGTTTAAAAATTTAATACTATTAAAATTACATGGTCACTATTTTCTTTTTTAAGCATTTAAAGTACAAATCTTGATAAAACATGTAAAAATCAAGAAAATGTGCAAATTATTTTGAGTTAGAAATTCATAAAAATTTTTCATTTAGAATCTAAAATTTGAAAATGTAATACAAGATTTCTTATAGGTGTGTTTACATATATATATAAAAAAAGGTCTACAATAAAGTCAAATTGAATTTTTATGAGAGTTTGAAGTTCACATTTTTTCAAGATTGGATATTCACTCGATTTCTGATGTAGCGTTTTTCTTATTTTGTTGTAATTCAAAAACAAATAACTGTATATAGATACATGCAAATATCACTGAATGTTTATAATTTAATTTCTATACAGAATTAAATGTCGATAATATTTTAACTAGTTTTGAAATATTTATGGACAATTTCAAATTTCAATTTTTTCAGTTTTACTATAAAATTGTGTTTGTCGAACCAGCCAAAAACCGTGAAAATGTAATATAAGGCTCCTGATATATTGTTACAATAGCAGTTTAAAAATATTAAAAATACATATTCACAATTTTTTTTATAAGCGTTAAAAGTTCGATTTTTAATAACAGTCACCAATGCAATTTTAAATTTAATAATTATTTTAATTAATTAATTAATAGAGTTATTAAATAAATAAAGTATTTAAGTTAAAAATGTATAAAATATTCAACTTTTATATCTAAGGATTGAAAATGTAGAACAAATTCCAGGTAAATTTAGGTTATAATAAATAAATTACTTTATTCAAAATAATATTATCAAATATACTTAGTAATAGCATAGGCTGTTTGACCGTCTTTGCTCAGAATCTTTTTTCTTATACAATGATATTATATCATTGAATTCAAATTTAACACCATTCATTATAGTGACCCACTCGTAAACCTTTTTCTTACTTTTATTTTTTTAATTGTAGTTTCTGTTTAAAAATACGTTTTAAACATTATATTATAGTGATTAATTCAATAAAATGCAATGTACCTAGAGACTTAAATGTCATGAGAATAGTACAGTAGAGTCTTACTAATCCGGACTTGATGGGACTGGACTCTATCAGGATTATTGAAAATCCGGATTAAATGGAATGACGTTTTTATAATAAGTCTAAGAAAAAATAAACGTAATGGTCTACACGAGTACACAATCACCACTACACGAAACAATATCTTAGTATGTAATCGAAAAATAATATTATCTTAATCATGGATATTCCCAAATATATACATTATACATGAGTACTAAAGTATGAAATATAGATTGATTGGTTTAGCGAGACTCTACTGTATTAATAAATAATAAATTGTAGAGGTAAGTCAATTAAAAAATTTGGCCATTTTGAAATAATTTATTTGTTTTTATTGTAAGTAAGTTGAAATGCAAGTGAAGAGAATAATTTTTTTATAAGTATTGATTTCACAAGCTGTACCTATGTAGTATACTGGCACAACTTTTGTTACCATAATATTAATTTGGGGAGCCTATCAAAAAACTAAAAAGACACAAATAACTGATGATAGCTTTAAGATGAAACTGGCAGTTACTGCTTGATTCTGTAATAGCCTAGGCAGTTGTTTCAATACATATTTAAATAAAGAGTTAATGATACAAGAGGTTTCTTTTAAAAAGTTACAAAAGCTAAACAATTTTGAAAAATCTGTGCATAATATTGAGAACAATTGTTGATGAAGAAATTATAGCAGTAGATATTATGTTATAAATAAAGAAACTATATTAATCCAAGAAAAAAAAATAATTACCTAAGATATCCTATGGTAGTAATGGGTGGCGCAGGATGTGGTCTAAAAGCATCAATTACAGTATCCAATTCCGCTAAAGCATTTTTTTGATCTTGTTCAAAGATAGAATTATTGACAGGTGAAGGATTTCCATGAGGTTTTTCTGGTACATTAAGCATAGCTCTTATTGACTGGACATATTGAGGTTTTTTATAAGATTCTTGATGTATTGAATAACTAGATTTATCTGTTTGTGTTGTACTATTAGTATATTTTTTATAAATATCGCGATTTGAACTGGAACCACAATTTCCAGCGCAGTATGTAGATTTCATAGTTGTAATAGTTAATACATCACCAGGTCCATACAGTGAGAGCATAGCTTCTTTTGAATGTTTTACATTATCTACTGTTGTGTTGTTAATCTAAAAAATAAAACAGACATAAGAATATAAAGACAAATCATTTGTTTTTAATTTAAACATTTACTTACCCTTAATACTCTATCACCAACATTTAAATTTCCATCTTTAGCAGCCATCGAACCAGGTGTTATTTCACTAATGTATACACCAGTTTCCAATGAGATTCCATGATCATAATTGTTTACTTCAAGTTGAGTTGTGAAAAGACTAATTGATGGAGAAGCAGGCTTTCTTCGGCTTACAACCAAAGTAGCACTGCTTAATGATCTCATTGTCTCCAAAACGAATTGCTTACTGATTGATGTACAATCAAGGCTATTCACTCTTAATATACAATCATTAACTCTAGAAAAAAAAACTTTCATAGATATTGTGAAATGGTATAAAAAATAATTAAAACTTTTAAGTTATCATTTATATTTATTAAATAATTAAATATCACTGTTTAGAGGAAGTCATTGCACTATTTTATTTCTTTTTCAAAAACATACAGAACATATAAAATTTACCAGAATTAATCTAGTGTTGTAACTTATCAGCTATAATAATAAAATTAACTGACCAAACATAAGATTATCATCTGGGGCTTAAAGTGAGCTACAAACGTTTTAAATAGTTATAATGCTCTTTGAAATTAAAACATCAATAAAAGCCTATGAAGTGCTCTAGATAATAATCTATACTTTAATTATTTTAATCAATCAATTCACTCCAATATCAAAACTAACACCAAATTGGTTCTTCTGAATTCAAATTTGTTATGTTGCAAATAGATCAGAGACAGTAAACAAACAGTATACTGACATACTTTTAAAGAATGGGGATTTTGTTAGGAGCCCCTTCCAATTATGTAATAATGAATACTCTATTCCAAATAAGATTAGGCTTCGGAGGCCGAGTTGTACAATTGGGCAAGCTTTGTTCCGGTTGCAGGGCCTGATCACCGTAGTGGGGACGGCATCTGACCGCAGCGAAATGAGAACTGGTCTTATTTGGAATTGAGTATTGTAATGTAATGCAATGTAACGTAGTATAAACGTTTTCAATATGAGTAATAACTCTATAAACCGATCGTCCAGTGAAAACGGAAAAACACAACAATTTTGATCTATACAGATTATAGACAGAGCCTGAGTCCGCACTGGACAAGCAGTAGTGTTACTATCACCAATCAAGCTAATGTTCATTCACCAGAACTAATCTTGTGTTGAAACTTGCTAGCTGTAATATTAAAATTAATTGACCTATCATAAGAATATCATCTGAAGTTCTAAAGTGAGCCATGAATATTTTTAATAGTTATAATTAAAGCATCAATAAAAGCCTATGAGGTGCCCTCGATAATATTTTTACCTTTAATTATTATAATCGGTCAATTCACTCCAATATCAAAACTAACAACACCAAATTGGTTTTGCTGACTGACAACCTTTTAAATAATGAGTGTTTTGCTAGGAGCCCATGCCATTTATGTAATAATGTAGTATAAACATTTTCATTGTGCGTAATAACCGATTGCCCAGCAAAAATGATAATGTGCTTACACAATCTTTTTGGTCTATACAGAGACTGGGTCCCTGCTGGACAAGCAGTAGTGTTACTATCATCAATTAGGCAAAACATCGTACAACTATCATTTGTAGATTTTCTGAAATCTTTCTTAAGCAAAAACATATTTTTTCGTAAGTAATGTAATTCTTTTACGTAAAAGGATCGTCCTAAACTATTATCAACATTAGAGTGTTGGAAATAAGTAAGAGCTCAACAGTGTATTTGTCTAAGTTTCGAATATAAAAAATGTATAGATTGGATGTTGTACTGTTGAGATAATATATATGTATTTAAAAAATTGAATTGACTCTTATATATAATATAATATAATGTACATACTATATAGTTATAGTATAAATATAAACATATTTTTAAATATAGTATGTTCAAACCTCAATTTCCTTGCTGCAACACATCCTTTATTGACAGATGATATATAAATTGCATTATCATTAGGATACAAAGGACCATCTCTTCCACCAAGTAAATCAATCCCTAAATCTTCATTTGTCCCTAAAACACCCTGAAAATATACATTTACATTAAATCATACCTAAACTGATAATATTTTAAATAACACTTACCAAATCAATATTTAATATTTCTGTATCATAGTCTTGAAGGTCGGTATCTATTGCAGAATCTTGACTATAGCAACCAGTAGCCTGTAATTTTAGTAAGCGAACTTCTTTTTCTAATTGAGATCCCATTTTTTCCCTACAAAGTAAGAAAACATACTTGCATAAGAAAGAAATTGGATTTTAAACTATTATTATCATACTTAAAATCATTGTGATTTTTAGCTGTATCACTTTTTTGTTTCATTATGTTATCCCAGTCTCTAAAAACACGAGTTAACTTGCTTACAGCATCATCGCGCTGCTTTCTTAAACTGTCACAGAGGGTTCGTATACTTTCACGCTCTAACACAATTTTATCGCGTTCACTAAAAGCCCAATCACGGCGTCTTTTAGATACTTCTGCTTCTTCTAGAGACTTATCTAATTCATAATGATATTTATCTGCTAATTTTCTTAAACGTTCAATTTCTTGATTAGCTTGATCCAGATTATTCATACGTTCTTTTTGACAAGAGTTAAATAAATCTAAAGAAGCTTCATGTTCCTGTGAATGTTTTCTATGTTCTATTTCTCTACTCAAGCCATAATATAAATGACTCTTAAATTCTCTTTGAGATTCAATTTTAGTTGTTACCTCTCCAAATCTTTCCTGATAATTATTACATTCTTTAAGTGCTTTATCACGATCATGTAATGCTGATGATATTTCACGTAATAATGATTCAACGTGCAATTGTAGAGTTTTTTTTTCATCTCTAAGAGATTTTATTTCATTTTCCAATAATTTATTTTTGTTGTAAGCTTGAGATAAATCTTCAGAGAGCTTTTCGATTTCATTATTAACAATATCGCGCTCACTCATAATGCGTCTATATTCTTTAACAGCATCATCATGAGTTTTATTCAATTCTTTAAGTTCTGTTCTACTTTTTACACTATCAGCAACAGCAACTTTCATATTATTGACTGCTTCTTTATGTTCTTGTTGAACTATTTGTATAGCATCTTGAAGATAATTACGTTCTTTAATTGTGATATTCCATCGACCCAAAGCAGTTATACGCTGTTGATCACAAACCTCTGTTTCTCGAACAGCTATATCCCGTTCCTTCGATAATTCATTACATTGTTTTTTTAGTTGATTAATTTCATCTTTCATCATGTCCATTTTAACAACAGCTGCTGAATGTGTAGTGCGCAAGTCTTCATATTCCTCTTTCAAAGTTTTATAATCTTCTAGCGTTGAATCATATGGCATGGAGTGATCATTAAGTGAATCACCACTTGCTGTATCACCTTCAGGAATATCCTGAAAAATATTTAAATTATATCAAAATACAATTTAAAAATATTAAATGTTATAATTTATAACTTTATCTATGCTTAAATATATTATTGAAAAAGTAAATACCAAAAAACAAATGTTGTATTAAATATGTAAGTAATGTTCCCTGCAATAGAATGATGGAAAACATAAGTAATATAAAAATTAATTTGTTTATTTCACCATACATGAACTCATTTAAAGTGTATTGTGATTTCAACTATATTGTTATCATAATAGTTAGTATCTAGTTAATGTATTTGTGCCTGGCATGTTTAAAACTTAAATAAAAATTTAGAAAAAATCAAAAGACTATTTTATTTTTGTAGTAATTGTAGGGTAAAAATAGCCCATGGGGTTAATATCAATATACTTTTATTAAAGTATCAGTGGCAAATTTAACTTATAAAATATTAGATTAGAGTAAATCTTGAAATAAGTATGAAGTATGATTGTCCAAATCTGATTGTTCCATCATATTCAGCATAAAAAATTATATTATAAAAAGTTAGTTTTTTGAACATTTTATTGGGGCTACCATAAGTTTAGAAAGACGAGGATACTGGTTTGTTATAGCCCCGCGGCCCCCACCACCGGTATAACAATTAATACATTTATTTATTTATTCCATAATAATAATAATTCGATGACAGATATATTGACGTAATATTAAAAAATTAAAATTAAAAAATGATTATAATAAATATATCGTATAAGTAGGTATAAAACAATGAAAAAATGAAAAAATGTATAAAAATGTATATGGTTTCTCTTATGATCACTATATTGTTAAGTTTTGATCGCCACATAAATTCTGCCATGTTATAGAGTCTAAAATATGTATATCAGTTCATCTACGTTTTTTGTTACGATTTTTGCCCGATTTAGCCAACCATCACATTCTCTCGACATTTTGTATGTGGGCTCCTGAATTATTGTCACACAATATTGTATTTATGATAAACTTAATTATGTTGAAATCTATGTTGTTGCATAAGCTTACATAATTAGTATAAGCTTACCAGCTGTCAGAAAAAAATGTTGAACCATGTCTAATATATCGGTTAATGATAGGTATCAATGAAACTTCTGATCTATCTGGCACACTAACTATGAAATAGTTTTTGATCATTGATTATTAGGTACCTCATAGTAACGGTAAGTATTTTTAGTCGAATTATTTCATATTTATATTATGTATTTACTGTTATATGGATGGCGGGGCTATAACAAACCAGTACCAAAATGAGCACAGAAATTAAACTAAATGTATGACCTTTTACATTATTCAACTTTTACTTCAAATATGTTCTCCTTCCAAAATCTATAAACCATCAAGACATAATAAGATACATATTGTTATCTTATAAAGTGTTATAATTAAAGTTAACAAAAGCTTAAAAAAATAAACAATATAGGCTAAAAAATTAATATATCAAAATTAGATATGTATTTACTAATCAGCATAACAATTAATATTATGACATTATATAGTACATATGTGTTAAGAATTTGATTAGAGTATTAGACAAGATCAAAAATACTGAACTGAAATTCTTAATACCTAATATGCTGAACAAACAGTTTTTAGGCAGTAATCTACTAAAATATCAGTAACTCTATAAATAGTGGTCCCACTATTATTTAACTACTTTATTAATACCTATACAAATTACAAAGACATTTTGAAATTGGATAAAATAATAATTCTCTGTAAAATCAATAAGAAATATGTACCTCTTCAGATCTATTGCCGAATGAAGATAACTCTTGATTTTGACTATCATAATATTCTAATTCTTTTCTTGTCTGGTTGTATCTTTGCAGTGTTTCTCCGTATTGTCTGTGTTAACGAAACAAAATGTGTAATGCTTAAATTGTTTTCAGATTTAAGATTAAAATAATAGTATACCTTTTCAACATCATCAACTCGTTCATTGCTGTAGCACATTGTTTTTTTAATTGATCATAATCACGTTCAGGGTGACTATTAGCATCTCGATTCTGATCATTACTTCGATCTGAATAACTTCGAGTAAGCATACCTATCATAGAACAAAAAAATAAAATTATAATAGGTATACTCACATGCCTATAATTATTATTTATTTTTTACAAACCAGTATTTTTAGAATTTTCAATAGTACTGGTTGACGACATCTTATTAGTACAGAATTGGCAGAATCGTTTTTATGTTATTAGCTTTGACGATGTCATGTTAATTGTGTTATGATTTAATAACATTTGTAACGGGATGTGCTGAATTTATCCTTGACTAAATAGTTCATAGATAAAGTAAAAAACACAATCAATTAGAGTAAGAATTTTTTTATATTCAAAGATTTAAGCAGTTATTAAAATGGAAAATAATATTAAATGTGGAGAAACAATAAAACGAGTTGAAAAAATATAATATACCTACTATTATGTAGGTACCTAACAAAAAATAAAAGATTGCAAACTGTATAGGTAAATATTATAGGTAGTAATACTAATGAAAATTCGAAGTTGAAACTGAAACTGTTTAATTTTATCAACTACGTAATTGATAATTATATATCGCAGCATCTCCGACGTAATTATTCTAAGGCCTAGAAAAATTCGTAAGAACGACGGAGATACGAGATATTTAGGCTGACAAAATGTTTGAAGCGTTATTTTCCTCTCCTGTAAAATGTACCATTTTGGACTTACAACTTTTGCGATTCGAGCAGATATAATATTATATGAAAATGATTTAGATATTTGGCCGAACTCTTTTCAAACGAAATATCGAGACGGCCAATCAAACACATAAATAACGAAAATGAGATCAGCAGTACATACCGGCTTCTTGATCGTTTAAACCTTCGGCATACAGACTTTTGTTGCAAGTGTTGCGAACCTTTTACGAACGAAGCACAGACATTATTAAACGCATACAATATTATAACAAAATATAAACAACCCGATCGACAGACGCGAGACGAGTAGACCAGTGCCGGACGGCAGACGCGCAGAGAATGCCAGACGAGACGCCAAACACTATTGCCGGGACGATAATGACGCTACTATCACACCGGCAACAGTGTACAACACGACCACGGTTATAATATTTATATATCTGTATACAGGTTGATCCTTTTAACGTAGGACACGTCTTAATCGTTTAACCATCTACTCTTCGTGTAACAAGTGTCTGTCTTACGTTAAGTGGATCACTATGTATATATAATATCTATATAACTATTAACCTTGGTACACGACCACAATTCTTGGTAGAACAAGCAACGATACGACGTCACGATGCGTATACCACGCCACCATTACACGGTTCATTTATCGACGACAAAATAAAATGGGAAAAATTCGTAATATCCACATTCCACATATTAGTCGCAATATGGCGGCGTAGCATACCTATATAGTATCCGTAATGCCATGACGACACATGGCATAATCCTCAACTGGCCGATCGAAATATCGTTAACTTGCCCAGCCTTGCTTGTGTAGGTACATTTTATTTTGAAGAAGGTATTCAATGACAATATCAACAACGGTTTCGCGACACTGTACATTTAACTTGGAGTTCTTTGAGTAAAATTCTAAAACCATACGTTCTTTTACCGATCTATTCGATAATATAATATCTTCTTTCTGCATTAAACTATACCTACCTATACATAAATGATAAAAATAATTTAGTAACTAAAAACGTTGGCAATAAATAATTTATGCGAACAAAATGCAAATAGAACCCTAATACTATGAAAAATAAACAAGGTTGATTGTTTGAATATTATTATTCATATATTTTATTCATGGATTTCAAATAATTATGATATTATCCAATAATATCTATTATAAAAAAAGTAGCATTGCCGTGAAGATCGGTTGCAATAAACTAACATTGGTTTAAAACCATTTTGTTGACAATTTAAGTTGGTACTATTTTTCATTAATTCAATGTTAAAATAATTGTGAGTAAAAACAATGATATGTTTCATCGTTTCTATAGGTGAGACATAAAATATAATATTTTTTTCTTTATTCTAAAGAGGTAAACCGGTCCGACCAACCTGCTGCCTACCGATGGAGGGGTCACATGTAAATTAATCCGATCCACAGGTGGCGTATAATATAGTATGTAAATTCCACAGGTACATTTTTTTAGTTTGGAAAATTAAATCTGAACAACAACCGTAAAATATGGCCGCCAGACAATGAACGCATCTTCAATTCGAGCGAACACCGACTACCAGTCTCATGAAGATATTACGATGACCAGCTGCGTGCACACGTAGTGGGCAATACATAATATAATATTATTATATTATTACAGAGGGACGGAGTCTAAGGCGTCGGCGGCGACTCAGCCGTCGCTGGTTCGATAACTCGGTCACGGGTGGCATTTTTCTCCGGGCAAGTTACGCGGTGTCCGGAGAACAAGTGCCGCCATCCCCATTACGGCAGATACCTATGGGTGCCCGATCGAAAATTCTGCCAAACTAACACACACTATTGTTATATACCGACATAAAAACCTAAAAAACCATACAGCTAATGGCCAAAGTCACCGAGCTTAAATCAATTAAAAAAAAAAAATAATAAATATTATTATACTGTATAAAATATGTGATATAAAAATATATGTTATAATACCTATTATCAATTATCATAATTTATTTATTACAGTATGTCAATATATTATTATTATTATTATTGTGATGCACTAGCTGAATGAAGCAAGGATTGTTATATAAAAAAAAATACAAAAAAGATACCTATGTATTAAAAAAATGATATCTTAGGAATATAAATACAAATGATCAATAGACGAAAACAATATTATAGTTTAGAGTAATAGATTGTATTAGTATTTAGTGTATAACAAATATGAAGATAACCAGTGGCGTATATACGAATTATTTTCACTATGGGCCAATTTATCACTAGTCAAGCATAACACGACTAACATAGCCATAACTGTACATTTTTAGGGAGCTAGGACTAATAATTAAGACATAATATACAATACAAATAAAAATTTAATACAATTTAATTTTATAATTATTATGTAAAATTAATTATTTGATTCTTTTTTAAAAAATATTGACAGTTTCATTTATATATTTTAATGTTATTTTACTATGAATATTGAATTGAACATCAAAGCAAGTCTTGACAATCTAACATTTCCTTGTTGATTTCTCAAAAACGATTTTAATCAACCCCTCGAAATTAATCATGGCGAAAAACTGTAAACAGTGTAAATATACATGCAATGGCTCTGGTCTAGGGGGTTAGGCCCCCCTATATACGCCACTGATGATAACCAATATCTACCGTTTACCTAGGCATTTTATCTTGATGATAACGACGTTTTCTATTACGATTTTGGACAGATTGGATGGACACATTTCCCACGGAATAATGATTATTGTCATGTTTCACTGGCGGTCAGGTTCTACAGTGGCGTATTTAGGTTTTTGTATTGGGGGGAGGATATGATTTTATCTAGTATCCCCGCCTTTAAAGGGGCATGTAAGGTTTCCGCCAAAAGTGTACCTCGCCCTTTTCCGCCAAATCAAAAAAGTTAGTCTAGTATTTGAATAATATTTATATATTATACATATAATATGCATGTCAGTCATATTATAGTTTTGTAAATTAAATACAGGATTCATAATAATACTTTTTCTTATCACTATTAAAAAATGTTATACGTACTATTTATAAATCAAATTGAAATTATATTTTTATTTTTATTTCACATACATATCAGTCATATTATAATTTACATATAAAATGAAAATTATTGTGTAAATTAAATACCTACATGATTTATAATAAAAGTTTTTCTTACCACTATTAAAAAGTATTGTACCTTTTTTTTTTCTTATTAAATTTTTTTTATTTTAAAAAGAATATTTACAATCTATACAACAGGCAAGGTTTAAATGAGTAAGTGTGGTGACATAAGAACATTAGACATAAAATAACATAATAGGAAGGCTTCCAGCAGTGCCACCTGACCAGAAATATTGTACCTACTATTCATAAATCAAAGTAAAATTATATTTTTATTTTTATTTCACATAGGTACATGGCAATCATATATTTTATAATTAACATTCATATAAAATACTATAGTTATATGATATTTAGGTACATAATATTACAACATTACAAAGCCATGTCTGAAAATGTAAGAAAAAATAAATATAAATATTGACATAAGATTAAAATACTTAAAGATCGCCATTTATTTACTCAATTATAAATTGTTTATTTCGATTATGTCTGTCTCGAACTCGACGATCTCGTATAGATGGGTACTTGCAAATTTAACATAGACTTCAGTTTGTACTTCATTAATCAGAAAAATATCAAAGGGATATAGAGATCCATTTTCGAGGTCATGAATCATGAACAGTTGTTTAAAAACCGTGCTGAATACTTAAATGTTCCATCCATATATAATTACATGTCAATTTCTTTTAGGAATAAATTAATATTCGTATGACATGGAAAAATAACAATTTTTTTTGTTGATAATTAATTAACAAAGAATGTTCACCTTGCTTTGTTTTTATATCTATTGTTTCTAAAAATGTAAATTGGTAAGTTTGGCAGGTAGCACTTTTCGTCGAGCTTCATTTATATTTTTCCTCAGCCTATTTATGTCTATTGTAGGGAATTGCGAAGCTTCTAAATTTTTTTTAATCTCTTTTAGTATAAATTTGTTTGGTTTATATCTGGTATCAATCACTGCTTTTTTCTTACTGGCACTGTTTACAATTTGACTTGACATAAGTGTCCGGATATAAAGCTCATGTTTATGAATTAAATTTTCACAACCATCATGTGCCTCATAGCATTATTTCCTTTATTTCCTTTGTTTTGTAATGTTTTGTAATACATCGCCAACGAGTTCAACCAGTGGATTTGTTAACTGATTCAATAATAAATTTATAATTATCTAAAACTAATAATGTTTTTCCATGTTTACTTACAATGAATTCAACCATTCTGTTACGATGTGTAGTTTATAGTAGGTTCAAAAATCATTGTAGTTTTTACTGACAAAATAAAACATTTGCCTAACGAAATACACTAAAATGTTATTTTATCAATATTATATTTCACTGTTATCAACTCGATTCGGTTCAAAAGTAGTA